CCATTATTTCTTCAAACTTTTTTCCTCTTTTTTCTTTTTCCTCTTTTTTCTGTTATTCTGTTACCACCTCTACACATATGTTGATATGTGTGATGTTAATGTCGGAAGTCTCTGAGACTATTCATTTTTTTGCATTGTTTTTTTGGTTTTTTTGTTGGACAAATTCTACTTTTCTATTTTCAAGTTCAGTTTTTTTTAATGCCACCTCAATTATCTCTTGAATCTATAGTGAATCTTTCATTTTTATTATACTTTTCAACTCTAGCTAATTCCCTTGTTTTAAGTTAGTATCCTTTATTGAGATTCCCTATTTGTTGTGTAATTGTCATATTTTTCTTTTATTTTTAAAATGTGACTCTTAATTTTTTGAACTTAATTATAATAGCTGCTTTGTAGTCTGTCTGCTAAGTCCAGTAACTGTGTCTACCCAGAATCAATTTCTGTTGACTGCTTTTTTTTTTTTTAAACTCTGTGTATAGTTCAACTTTTCCTGTTGTTTCCCAGTGTTTTTGAATTGGATATTTTAGATAATATATTGTAGCAACTCTAAGCTCTGATTTTTTTTTTTTTAACCTCCTGAAGGTGGTTTTTAGAATCCCTGAAATTCTTTGTTAACCCTTTTTTACCCTGATTTTCTAGGGGTTGACCATTTGTCTGCATAGCTTTGTGATGTATAAATTATTGTTCTGAGATTGTGCTCAAACATCTGGAGTTTATGAGACTGTCCTCGTTTTGTGATGATTCTGTATGTGGGGTTGGTAGTACATTCAAAATTCAGACAGTTTTCAAATTAACCTCGGCTTTTACTTTCTCTGAGGCCCTCTTGGGTCTCTCCTGTATATGTGTACAACCTGTTAATTAGCTGGGGCTGTATGGAAACTTATTTAGGCCCTCTGTGCTTCTCTCATTTCTAGAATCTCCCTGTTAAATTTCTGAGTGTCCTGCTAGTCTATCATTTTCTGCAGCTGGGACTGCAGCCTCAGTGTGGCAGAACTGTCTCTCTTTGTGTCCTATCAAATTTGTTTTTGGGTTTGTTTTTTTTGAGTTGGAGTCTCACTCAGTCGCCCAGACTGGAGTGCAGTGACTGCTCCTGGCCACTGCAGCCTCAACCTGCTGGGCTCCGGTGATCCTTCCACCTCAGCCTTCCGAGTAGCCGGAATTACAGGCACGCGCTACCACGCCCGGCTGTTTTTTTGATTTATTGTAGAGATGAGGTCTCGCCAAGTTGCCCAGGTGGGTCTCGAACCTTCAAGCTTAGGCAATTCACTCGCCTTGGCCTCCCAAAGCGCGGAATTACAGGCTGAGCCACCGAGCCCGGCCCAAATTTGGTATTTTTATTGCCAGTGTCACGAAATAGGGGTTTTTGCTCTCTGTTCTAAATAATAGACCCCTCTAGAAGCAAAAAAATTCTTGGTTTTCCCAGCTAACCTTGCTCTGGTAAATGAGGCTTGAGTGGTGGGGGAGAACAGTAGCATCCTCTGGCAAGAAGACCACTTTCTTCCACTCTCCTAACTATAATGTTTAGCAGCATTTTCATGAATAAATGCTTCTCAATTTGTTGTTGCCTTTGATTGATTTCCAGAGCTCTGAAATGGTTGTTTTCTACAATGTAGTTCAGTTTTTTGGGTGTTTTGAGGGAATGGATTTGCTGATCATTCCACTAAAGCTGGAAATTTTAAAAATTTTCTGACTTCTTAATACCCTGTGCCCCCTACATCCACTTTAATTCAATCTAGTCAGGTTTTTTTCACCATTGTTCTACAGAAATCATTCTTGTAAGTCACCAGCATCCTATATTTGCTATATCAGTTGTCATTTTCCTGCTTTTATCTTAATCTCTCAACAGCTTTTGACATAAATCAGTTTACTTTTTCTGAAAACTCTTTATCTATTTGACCTCTAAGATACTTTCTCCTGTTTTCCTCCTACTTCGTTAACTGCTCTGTTCTATCTATTTTTTTTCATTACATGATTTTTTTTTTTTTTCGGAATAAACTAATAAACTTCTTTAGGTGATACCATCAAGTCCCCTTACACAGATGACCCACAAATGTATTTTCCCAGTCTTAACTTCTACCCTGAACCTCATTTGGATGTCTAATAAGGATTTCAAAGTTAATATATAAAAACCAGAACTCTTGATCTACTTCGTCTATCAAATCTATTCCCTTCAATTTTTAGAATGTTCTTCTGAAAGATTTATCTGATTGTATTGATTTCCTGGTCAAAACCTCCATTGACTTCCCTTTACATTTAGAGTGAAATTTGGTTTCTTAACATGGTTGATTAGGATTTGTACAATACTGTCCCTGTCTCCTCTCTGAACTTAACTCTTCCCTCTCTACCGATACCCAGAATGATGTTACAATATTATCCTTCTGGCTATTTCTTGAATATGCCAAGCCCACATTTAGGTTTTTCCTGTAACCTCAGTGTTCTTCCCTCAGATCTTCACATGGTTCTCACCTTCATATCATTCAGTTTTGTGTTCGTATCTTACCTTTTTCATAAGGTTTTCTCTGACTTCCCTATCTAAAATATAGCCCCCTTTCTCTATTATGTTCTGACTGCTTACTCTGCATGAAAATATATTGTTTGTTTGCTCTTCGTTCTCCTCCATAGATTGTACTTTTCATGAGATTAAGAACTTTGTTAGTCTTGTTCATTACCATATCCTTAACATGGAATGGTGCCTGGTATAGACTAGTATACTATATTTATGGAATAACAGTGTTTTCTACAGAATTGGTATGCCATTAGTCAACTAATAAAGAAAGATTCCATAAAAATGGCTAGGATTGGGAAAGTTGTGTATTTAAAAGCATCTTAAACATGAACTTTTTTTGGCCTAACATTGGCTTGATTAATACTTTCAGAAATTGTTCAATTAAATTTATATTTTGGATATTTTAGGAAATTTTAAGATGAGCAAAAACATAAGCCTTCTTTCTAAAGTAATACAATATGAACACAAGAGTAAATGTAGGTGAATGTTTAGGTCCTTGTTCCTTGGCCCCTATGTATCCCCACTTTGTACTTGCTTCACTTAGGCAGGCATTTTTAAAAATCAAAAGTAGTAAGCACAATCTTACACAGTTTCTGTTATCTGCAAATTTAATAACTCTCTGTTACCTTGGTTAATGAGTTTGGATAAATAGGTAGCCAAGTTATGTTAAAAACAATCTTAATAGCTGTATATTATGAGAGGAGTAAGTTCTGATTTACTAGCAGTTCTCCTTTAAAGCTAGCTACCAAAGTGTGAATTGGTAAAGTATAAAAATACTTTCAGAAATGGCTTCAATTTGGAATGAAAGTAAACACAGTTTTGATATTGGTAAAATTTTCTGTGTCCTTTCTACAACAGTCAACAATTAAGAGTCCGACATCGGATGGGGCACAGTAACTCACACCTGTAATCCCAACACTTTGGGAGGCCAAGACAAGAGGATTGCCTGAGCCCAGGGGTTCAAGATCAGCCTGGGCAACTTAGTGAGACCTCATCTCTACAATAAATCAAAAAATTAGCCAGACATGGTGGCACACACCTGTGGTTCCAGCTACTTGGAAGTCTGAGGTGGAAGGATCACCTGAGCCCAGCATGTCGAGGATGTGGTGGCCATAAGCATGCCGCTGTCCTCCAGCCTGGGTGACAGAGTGAGATGAGACTGACTAAAAAAAATGACATCAGTTTTTATCTTTGTTAAAGCAGTTGTACTGTATTTTCTGTGTTTATTGCTTTACTTATAAGCATGTTATAAAAAGTAATGGAATGAAAGATGTCTTTTATAAGGCTTTTAAATATCACTGTCTACATAAGCCCAGCTCTGAAGGTCAGTTTAAAGGAACATTCACTTATTTCTGCTCTCATCTTGGAAGAACTACAAGAAGAACTACACCCCAATCTTTCTCTTCAGAGGAAGTTCCTGGAAGAACTACATCTAGGAAGAACTCTAGGATAGTTCTGATTGTCTGGCTCATTGACCTGCATCCCCCACTCCCTTCCTTTTGGGCCTCTTTTCTAATCATAACAGCATTTATTCCCAGGTATATACTTTATGTTTTGTAGCACTTCTAAATCACTATTTTAACTAAAACTTTATTTTTTGACCACACAGCTGATATTTTGGTATTCTTTCTCTGTAATGTAATTTGGCTTTTATTAACTGAATTTCTGACTGCCAAGTATCCTCTTTGTTAATATACAGTCTATAAAATTGACTGTTGCTAAGTATATCATATTAAGAAATCATCATACTATTTAGTGTTTTCTTTTCATGAAGCATGAATATAACTTTGAAACTTCCCAAAGGGAAAATTATTTGTGGAGTCTATGAATCTATAAGGACTGTGCAGTTTCTGTGAAGCCCTATTTTAACTATTTCTAAAACTTAATAGCCGAACACTTTTTGTGGAGTTGATGCTCGGTTTTTTTCATGTGCCTTAGAAAGCAAATAGGCTTGTAAGAGGTTTCTTTAACCCCAAATTTATGTGTCTGGTGAGAAGTTTAAATTTTTTATTAGCAAAAAGTTACATTAATAACAGCTTTTTTGAGATCTTTTACAAACGGTGACCAGTACTTTTAAAGCTATTTGTGGTAAAGTATCAGTTTTTACAATTTTCAAATCATCAAAGACTATTAGTTCGTTGAGAAACAATACAAATGAATTGCTGAAATAGTGAAATTTTAAAAAGCATAAAATATAGGTCCCAATTCTTAGTATTATATCCATAAATATAAATTTATTCTATCAAAGTGCTATAAAAGATTTTAAACACTTTTAATTTCTGTATTTGTCATATTACAGAGCCGTTCGTTACAAATAGTTTCTAGACTAGTAACATATAGTTTGCAGATTAATACCAGTCTACAGTTTATACTTTTTAGTAGCATTTATCTATAGTTTGTTGCTTATAGTGTTTAATGTTATTTCAGAAGTGTCTTGATCAATATATAAGTAGCTGTAATTAAAAAAAAATTTTTTTATATGTTTCCTTTCCAGAACCGAGAGCTCCAGATCATGAGAAAGCTAGATCATTGTAATATAGTCCGATTGCGATATTTCTTCTACTCCAGTGGTGAGAAGGTAGGTCTGACAGAAAGTGTGTACTGAATATTGTGATAAACGTGTTATTTTCCTAGAAATTAAATCCTCCCTCCCCTCCCTCCCTCATGAGACAATTTTGCTAGTTAAATGGCAAAACTCCAGAGCATAGGCCCCAGTACTTCTTATCCCAAGATTTGGTCGTTGAATATCTTTAGTTATATCAGGAAAGTGTTAATGAGAAGATAAAAGGAATGAGTTTTTAAAGGTTTTCTTCTTTTTTAAAACATCTGTCTTCAGTTTTCTCATATATTTTACTAAGATTTCCATGTTCCTTATGTGCTTGTGAAGGCTTCTGATAGTTAACCTATTTATTGGAGGGAGGAAAATTTACTCATTTTGTTAAGTGAAGTTGATTAGAGGGGAAGAGGAAGCAGAAGAATTTTGGTAGGACCAGAATGAGGGTTAAACATTGGGAAACAAGTTCAACCAACCTATTCCTGACCAGGGAAAAAAATAGTTTTACAGAGCTTATAAGTGGTCACTATTTCTCATCATGATGAAGTATATGAAAGCAAAGGCTAATTATAGAATGTGCAGTGAATCTCCACCACTCACCCTAATCTTTCTCTTCAGAGGTGCAATAACTAATGGAATTGGAAGCAAATAAAAATAAGACCAGTTTCTTCTGCTTTACTTTGGTCTTTTCTTTCTGCCTGTCATTGTCCCTTCTTTCCAGATTCATTCGTTCCTTACTGTTTTCTTTCACTAGTGTGGGGTGAAGTAGCAGGGCAGGTAACATACCATTTGATTTTTTTTTTTTTTTTTGACTAAATAAATATGACTTCGAATAAGTTCACTGTATATTTTGGATTTCAGATTTTATCATCTAAGAACATTTCAATCTAATGTTCTTAGATTAATACTTCTTAGTTTCTAGCTCATTGTTCTTATTACTGTTATATAACTGCTTTCTAGTGTAACAGTTTTTAATAATTTTTCATTAAATATTACTTAGACTATTTTCTTAGAAATTCTTTTTTGTAAAATGACAGAACCTGCAATATGGGATGATTCCTATGCATTAAGCCAGAATTGTGATTTATATGTCTATAGATATATCACTGGGATGTGTGTGTGTGTGTGTGTGTGTGTGTGTGTGTGTGTGTGTGTGAGAGAGAGAGAGAGAGAGAGAACAAGAACTACTATTTTTTAACCAGTGTAGTTAACTGCTAATTGGCCTTTATTGACACTTTTTTGTTGGTTGCTCTTTTTTTTTTTTTTTAAATTTTAAATGATAATTGATGCCTCTGCTTTATTAGGGACTATTTACCCTCATAACTATTTAAGCTTTTATATTTCTTTCTTTTTCTTTTCTGGTCCCACTCTAAGACTTTTATTTTATTATTTCTATTTATTTATTTATTTATTATTAGAGATAAGGTCTCACCAGGGTGCCCAGGCTGGTCTTGAACCCGTAGGCTCAGGAATCCTCTCACCTTGGCCTCCCAAAGTGCTGGGATTATAGGGGTGAACCATCGTGCCTGGCCTTTTATATTTTATTTTAAAGATGTAGGGCACAATTCAGTATTAGGCATTTAAGTGAACATTGTACAGGTAAAGTTTGGGCCTCCCTTTGGTCCCCACTTTGCCTGGTTTGAGATCAGGTACCCTTATTGATGTTGTGCCAGCTCTTATATTTCTAAACCCTGTTACTTGGTCCATGCTACCTTTTTTCCCCCCTACCAAGCTGCCTATTATTATCTTTAATCTTATCGTTTTGGCATGTCTTTACTTTTTCTCATCCTTTTAAATAAAATTATGGAGCATCTGTTATGTTCACGGCACTCTTACAGTGTGAGTTTGCATCTTCATGGTTTTTTGTTACTGGATGCTAGACATCATGAAATCTTTTTAGGTTTCTTAGAAAAATATCTAAATGTCTGAACTTCTTAGAAATCCTTAGAGGTGATTTATAGCTGAATGTGGCAACCCAGAATTATTTGTTCCATGAACCACTAGATTACATAAAAATTCATTTGCAAAAAAGGTCTTCTTATAAAGTCTCTAAAACATTTTCTCTTGATTGCTTATTTTAATTTATATAGCATTTTCTATATTAACATCAGGCATTGTTTTAATGGCTTGCAAATATTAGCTGATTTAATTCTTATGAAATTAAAGAGCAGAAAGGGAAGAATATCAGACCTTTTGAATGCAAGGCGTGTGATGGTATACCTGTCTGGTTTTGGTTTGATGGGAAGCCCCCATCACAGTCAGCTCTTACCTTAGTCTTGCATTAGGGGTGACAATTAACTGGCTGTTATCTACACAGATAACAGGATAACTTCCTCCTTGCTGTTGCCTTTAGCTTTCTACTTATCTTAAATGCTCTTATAGATAAAGAGCAATCAAGAGTCATTAACAAAGGTTAGCCTATAGGACAGTGAACCTTTGTCTATTATACTAAGAAATATACTTTGTAATATTTATCAGAATTTTTCCTTGAACATTGTAAATTTTCCAAAGTGAAAAAAAAGATACTTCCTAATTTGGGAGTAGCTTCATTAAACACAAAACAAAAAAAGAAAAGATGAAAGAAAGGAAAGTTGTGGTATATTGCCAAAAATAATGATCCTTCTTTGTCAAAAAAGTAGTTTTCTGAAGAGATGCAGAGATAAACAGGTTCAAGACTTCCCATAATCTCCCAGCCACCAACAATATACTTCTTTCCTCATTTATGATCAATTTTTCTGAATTGTTCCAGCAGCACTAATATCATCTAAGAAACCAAGTAATAAACTAGTTCTTCCCATAGGAGAAGATGCGTTCAGCTCTAGGGTTGAGCACTCAGGTTGGTTATGATCAGTTCTGACTCTCTAGGAATAGATTACTGCTGTTTAGAAAAATATCTAAATGTCTTTGAACTTACTAGAAATCCTTAGAGATGATTTATATCTGAATGTGGCAATCCTATATTCAGTAGGCATTTTTTTCCTAGCAGAAACATTATGTTTTGCTTATGTGTATATATGAGAAGAGTTTTAGAAAAGGAAGTAATACACTAATAGTTTGAGACGCCTATGAGGCATACAAGTAGATAGATGCTCAGTAGACAAGTACATGTGTGACTTCATAGGTGATAGTCCTAAGTGAAGAGATATATTGACAAGGTGGAATAGAGAGGGTGTGCAGCCATGTGGACTTTGAAGAAGAGGAGATATGGGCGTGTAATTTGAGGCCAGGACAGTGAAAGTCTGACAGTGTTTATTGCCTTATTTTCCTAAAATTTGTTGAGGGGTGAGACCAGTCTTCGTTTGAGAGAACACGGAAACCAGTGCCTTTCGTTGAGATCCAGGTTTTGGCTAGGGCAAGGCAGAAAAAAAAAACACTCTCCATGAAGAGACTGAGGTTTTCAGAAAATTTCCTTTTAGAGTTTCAGAGGGTACAGGGGAACGCTCTGAAAAGGAGATCAGTGATAAGAACTTATGATGAGCTTAAAGAAAGCTTGAGATAGTTAGGGGGATGAGTTGGGCATTGTGAAGACAAGAAAGAACAAGAATTCATTGTTTCACGATTAGAGAGATGAAAGGCTTGGTTAGATTCTAGGATAGATGAGTTCAAATATATTTGGGAATTTTAAAAAATCCTCTCATTCTCTATAATCATCTCTGATTCTCTTTTTCTCTCTGTTATTCTCTGTCAATCTTTCTCCAGCCCCTTTCTCTCTTTTCTCTTCAGTCTCTGTTCCCTTTTCTGGGTTTCTGCCCCTTTCACTCTAGACTTTTGATCTCTGTCTTTCTGTCTCTGGGTTTTTGTCCCTCTCTCTTAGTCTGTGTCAACCCTCTTTTCAGATTTCTTAGAAAAATATCTAAATGTCTGTGAACTTCTTAGAGATCCTAAGAGATGATTTATATCTGAATGTGGCAACCCTATATTCAGTGGGTATTTTTTTCCTAACAGAAGCATTATGTTTTGCTTATGTGTATATATGAGAGAAGTTTATTTCAGATTTCTTTTCCTTCTACCTCTGTCTTTCTCTTTTCTCTTTCTCTCTACTCTCTTCTCCCTCTTTCTGTTATTTCCTCTCTATGGGTCTCCATCAATCTTTTTCTCTGGGTTCCTGGTCGTCTCTTTCTTTGGGATTTTACCCATCTCACTTTCTTTGGCTCTCTGATCCTTTCTAAAGCTTTACATGGATTCTCATCTGTCTTAAATTTTCCTTATTCTCTTTCTTGCTGTCTCTTCTCTCTGGGCCACTATTATTCCCTTTTTTGGAAAATGTTAAGCGAAAAAAAATAAATTATCACTGTCCTGACCTTTGACTTCAGTTCTATATATCATATTACATACATACATGTTTACATCGGTGTGTACATAATAACTTATAACCTATTAAATATTCAAGACTTTATAAAAACTTTTTCCCAGTTGCCTCATACTGTGTATGGGTATTGGTTATATAATATTCTGTTGTTATATAATGCAATACTCTTATCTATTCCCTCATTGTTATTTTTAATTTTAGAGTTGTGGGTAAGCTATCCCATGGCCTCATTATCACTTTTGTCTGCAAGCACTTTTTAGCTCTGGGAGAAGTTATAAAGTTGGTTTTCTGTTATATCAGGTAAATGTTTTTACTAACCACAGTTTGACTGGATGATTTGTCTATTTTGGTAGACTTTTTATTGTATTTCACCCTGTCATTTTAAAGCCTTTTTCTTTAGGTATTATGGATAATCAGCTTTTAACCTATACAGTGAGTCCCCTACGTAAGAGCCTTCAAGTTGCAAACTTTCAAAGATTAAACATGCATTAACATGCCCAATCAGATAAGTTAGTTCACACATCTGGTGTACATTGTCATGTGCGTGCATCCTCCACAAGTGGTTGTGCTTTTGTACTTTACAGTATGTATTATTTGTGTGAAAAGTATTATAAGTGTATTATAGTACAGTGCTATAGGCCAGTTGTTTCAGTTGGGTACCTAGGCTGACTTTGTTGGGCTTACAAATTGAACTTACAAATGCACTCTTGGAATG